GTATGGAAGGAAATGTACTCATTACCTGACTCATGTAATTGTAATCCCTCTGTACATCACCTTTATTATAACAATAAAGTAAATAGTTTTTTTTTGTTTGTTTTTGTCGGTCATTCATGGGAGCTGAACTCTGGACCTGAGCCCTGTCCCTCAGCTCTTCAGCTCAAGGTTAGAGCTCTACCATTGAGCCACAGCACCACTTCTGGCTTTTTTTCTGAATACTTCATTGGAGATAAGAGTCCCACAGGGGGGCTGGGAAGGTGGCTCAGTGGTAGAGCGCTTGCCTTGCATGCCTGAGGCCCTGGATTCGATTCCTCAGCACCACATAAGCAAAAAAAAAAAAAAAAAAAAAGCCAGAAGTGGCACTGTGGCTCAAGTGGTAGAGCAGTAGCCTTGAGCTGAAGAGCTGAAGGACAGTGCCCAGGCCCAGAGTTCAGGCCCCAGGACTGGACCAAAAAACAATAAATAGTTTCTTTTTTTGTCCGTCATTCATGGGGGCTGAACTCTGGGCCTGGGCGCTGTCCCTCAGCTCTTCAGCTCAAGGCTAGAGCTCTACCATTGAGCCACAGCACCACTCTGGCCTTTTCTGCTCATGTGGTGCTGAGGAATCAAATCCAGGGCCTCAAGCATGCAAGGCAAGAGCTCTACCACTGAGCCACCTTCCCAGCCCCACCTTAGGGCTTTAAAAAAAGAAAGAAAGAAAACTCAGTGCCTGGGCACTGTCCCTGAGCTCTTTTGCTTGAGCAGCACTCTATCACTTTGAGCCAGAGCTCCCCTTTCCAGTTTTCTGGTGGTTAAGTGGATATAAGAGTCTTATGGGACTTTCCTGTCTGGGCTGGCTTTGAACAGTGATCCTCAGATCTCAGCTTCCTGAATAGCTAGGATTATAAGTGTGAAACACTGGCCCCTGCCTTGCTTAGGGTACTTTTTTTGTTTGTTTGTTTTGATTTTTGCCAGTCCTGGGGCTTGAACTAAGGGCCTGGGCACTGTCGATCCTCTCTGTGCTCAAGGCAAGCTCTCTCCCACTTGAGCCACAGCGCCACTTCCAGCTTTTTCTGCGTATGTGGTACTGAGTAATCAAACCTGGGACTTCATGCATGCTAGGCAAACATTCTACCACTAAGCTACATTCCCAGCCCTGCTTAGCATATTTTTAAGTGTAAGAGTTGAACATGGGCTGGGAAGGTGGCTCAGTGGTAGAGTGCTTGCCTCGCATGTATGAGACCCTGGGTTCAATTCCTCAGTACCACATAAACAGAAAAAGCCAGAAGTGGCACTGTGGCTCAAGTAGTAGAGCTTTAGTCTGTGCTGAAGAGCTGAGGGGGAGAGCCCAGGCCCAGAGTTCAATCCCCACAACTGACAAAAATTAATTTAAAAAAATTCTAAAAAAAAAAAAGTTGAACATTTCCCATAGAAGAAATGGTAAGTGAAGTCAGGACAAGTGAGTTTATTACCCTGCCTTGCTGCCAAGGTTTGTCTGGATGACTTGGGTTTACCCTGTGGAATGCTTAGAGTCCCCATGCATCCTTCCCCAGGATACCTGTCTTCATCACACAGAATGTCATCATCTGGTGCTCAGTCCCAGGCTTCCAGGCTGCATTTCTAATGCACACAAGGATGATGTCACTTCCTCGCCCCCCAGTTGCCTTCAGGGCAATGATAATAAGCTCCTTGGCCTGGCCTTGTAGAAACTGCTCCCCTTCTAGACCTCATCCCTCCAGCTTCTCTTCCTCCAGCAGGCCTGAGTAGAAGGGCTTCTCCCAGAGGAAGTGAGAGAGGTGAGCTTGCATTGTCCTAAGGTAATGTGTGTTCACTTAAGAAGGCCCAGTATGTGCCAGGTGTTAGGACCCGGCCGACCTTCAGTTTTTCATTTGACAGGAACTGGGTCACACACACAGACTGCAACCATGGAGAGGAAAATAGGCTTAGGCAGCCAGCGTTTGCATCCAGTGCAGACAGCTCATGGTTGAAGGAGTCCAATTGTTCGGTATTTTCCAAGTAATATAGAATATCAAAGTTTAGAAGGGGAGGAAATGGTGATAAGGGGTAACAATGAGGGGGAAGCAGGAGACCAGAAATTTGAGACCAGCCTAGACTACATAGGGAGAAACTGTCTCAAAAAACAAAAACAAAAGAAAAAGAGAGAGCGAGCTAAGATAAGCAGCCCGAAAGCACAGGTAGAGAAACAGGCCCCATTAGGGAAGTGCCTTGCCCTGGGAACACGAGGGTGCCAGGGGTCCGGGACGGGGCAGCCTGGCG